TTAAAGTTTATAATTAAGGTCTGTACCCTGATACCGGTTTGGTGTTCATGCAAGTTCTTGATGTTAAGTTTTAGTCTGTATGGTATACAGACATATCTAGACAGTTTAGTGACGTAGTCCATTTGTCTGAAAGTTTTATATGGGGTATGTAACAGTATAGGCTTGTTATTGTGTTCTAAGCTGTATTCTTTTCTGTTTATTTGTATGTTGGGATATGTTTAGCTGTATTGTTAGGGATTAAGTATGTAGATTATCTAGTCAGATTATGATGTTAGGTTTTTGGTTTTTTGATTAATGTGAAGGATGGGATTTAACTGATATAACGTCTTTGTATTTTTTATGTTCAAGTGTATTGAACCTTGTCAGATGTCATTTTATGTACAAATTTATATATATGCAAGGTTTTGTATATATGTCAATTCATGACCCTGTGACATGTAATTTTGTTTTTAGTTATGTTCTTGATGTAAGTTTTTTTTTGTAATATCTTGCGAGCATGTAAGTACAATCCGTTTGTCAGTTAATTTGATTAGGTTCCATACTGTTTCTTTATTTTTATGTTAAACTGTATTGGTTTTAAATAAAATATAAAAAAAAAAAATCCTACCATACCTGTGTCTGGCTTCTGACACAAGCATGCCACAATTTATGCTTAATGAGTTGAGAGCATTATGGATGACAGAGAATCAGTTACAATTAAACTGTCAATCTTTGATACATAGATGCATTTCAGTGCAAAGGGGTATGCAAAAAAGTTCTGTCTGAAGGGTAGAGGCCCAATTATTGATGCGTGCTCCAATTTCTTTAAGAGAGCCATCACTCTGTACGACAACAGCAGCACTACCAGCTGCACCAGTGGATTGGTGAACAGAACCATCAACGTAAATAATTTGCGAGAGTGTGTGCTGTGTGACTAAGTTATCAAACAGCTTAAGGCCTCATGTTTGGCTTCAAGGCGAAGTTTTGGTTGTGATTTAAGAAGTAGTTTGGGGGGAAATGGAGGAATGGTAGTTTGGAATGGGGTAATATTCCATGGAGCGGAGAAGTGCCGCTGTTGCCTTACTTGACATAGATCATGTATTTGATTCATGCGGAGGTCGGTTCCAGTCTTTTCGATTACAGTAAAACAGGAAGTCAGATTAATTCTGATGACATTAGAACACTACAGGAAGGTCTTGATAGGTTGATGCAGTGGTCGAAAAGTGGAAGATGCAGTTTAATGTAGACAAATTTAAAGTTCTAAGCCTGGAAAAAGAGAATAACCGTAGTACTCATAAACTTAATAATTGAGGTGTGTAAATGGAAGACAAAGATAAATAAATGGGATATAAATAACGTGCTATAAATATCTAATCAAGACAAGACTCATAATAATGGGTTCAAGTTAGAGAAGAATAGATTGGTTCGATAATAGAGTTGTGAATGAGTGGAACAAACTCCCGAGCACTGTTAGTGAAACGAAAACTTCGGAAAGCTTAAAGAAAAGAGGTTAGACAACTATTTGAGTAGGATTGGGGAGTGACCTGCCTAGCACGGCCAATAGGCTTATTGCAGTGCTTCTTCTTTCTCATGTTCTTATATGCCTTCATGGAGAAAGTAGATTACAATTCTGGTTGTCAACACTATAGTAGTTTGACAGAACTTCATCTGAACTTCATTGACATGATACTGACGGAGAATGACACTCCAGTCTACCTATCATCACCATTCTATCATGCAGGAAGAGCTACATGTCTATAATCCATCCAACAAAATCAACAAACTCTTGGATGTCACTATCACCCGGCTCTGGCTGGCCTACAAGTATCTCTGGGAAGTTGCATTATCATTACCAGGTGATAAAGACGTAACTACATGTAAACTTTGCCAGGCAGTTTATTGTCACACCTTGCGTCATTATGTCCCGGAATGCGATGAAATTAATGAATTCAGAGGTAACTTACTCAGATATGTTCAAGAAATATCAAAATATTTTATACACATTGGTATATCAACAATTCTGGAAAAATACCCTGACTTTGCCCACTGTAAATAACGCATAACCACATTTTTTTTATTACAAGTATAACTTGCTAAAATATAATTATGATTGAATCCTACTGTAACTTATTGCTGATTTTAGATAATAAGATATTGCATGTTTGCATAAATACCTTATTAAGATTAAGTAAGTTTATTTAGGTACAGGTACACATAAGTACAATTATCATACTTTTTAACATATGTGTAAATTTCTTATTAGTATTTTTTTAGTTTAATATCTTCATTATGCACCCTATACCCATCCTGTGGGTGGTAGTCAAAAGATTATTGAGGTACATAATGGGTCCAGGGACTGTATCTCAACATTACAGAGGTATATAAGGGGTCTAGGGACTGTACCTCAACATTACAGAGGTATATAATGGGTCCAGGGACTGTACCTCAACATTACAGAGGTATATAAGGGGTCTAGGAATTGTACCTCAACATTACAGAGGTATATAATGGGTCCAGGGACTGTATCTCAACATTACAGAGGTATATAAGGGGTCTAGGGACTGTACCTCAACATTACAGAGGTATATAATGGGTCCAGGGACTGTACCTCAACATTACAGAGGTATATAATGGGTCCAGGGACTGTACCTCAACATTACAGAGGTATATAATGGGTCCAGGGGCTGTACCTCAACATTACGGAGGTATATATTGGGTCCAGGGACTGTACCTCAACATTACAGAGGTATATATTGGGTCCAGGGACTGTACCTCAACATACAGAGGTATATATTGGGTCCAGAGGACTGTACCTCAACATTACAGAGGTATATAATGGGTCCAGGGACTGTACCTCAACATTACGGAGGTATATATTGGGTCCAGGGACTGTACCTCAACATTACAGAGGTATATATTGGGTCCAGGGACTGTACCTCAACATTACAGAGGTATATATTGGGTCCAGAGACTGTACCTCAACATTACAGAGGTATATAATGGGTCCAGGGACTGTACCTCAACATTACGGAGGTATATATTGGGTCCAGGGACTGTACCTCAACATTACAGAGGTATATATTGGGTCCAGGGATTGTACCTCAACATTACAGAGGTATATATTGGGTCCAGAGACTGTACCTCAACATTACAGAGGTATATAATGGGTCCAGGGACTGTACCTCAACATTACGGAGGTATAATATTGGGTCCAGGGACTGTACCTCAACATTACGGAGGTATATATTGGGTCCAGGGACTGTACCTCAACATTACGGAGGTATATATTGGGTCCAGGGACTGTACCTCAACATTACAGAGGTATATATTGGGTCCAGGGACTGTACCACTCAACATTACAGAGGTATATATGGGTCCAGAGACTGTACCTCAACATTACAGAGGTATATAATGGGTCCAGGGACTGTACCTCAACATTACGGAGGTATATATTGGGTCCAGGGACTGTACCTTAACATTACAGACGTATATATTGGGTCCAGGGAATGGGCCGCAAAGTTCTGATAACTGAACAAGTTACAGTGGAAATGAACTGTGTACATACTTACATCAGGTCACGGTCGTAAAGAGTTATTTATGCAGACACTGGTGGTAATGTTTTATTTACAGTCAGCAAAGTCAGGGTATTTTCCAGAATGGTTTGTAATATACCACTGTGGATAAAATACTTTGACATTTCTTGAATATTTCTGAGTGAGTTGCCTCTGAATTCATTAATTTTATCGCACTCCAGTACATAATGACGCGGGTGTAACAGTAGTCCAGCCGGCAAAGTTTACATTTCGTTTGGTTTACATTTGGTGGCGGTGATTTAACCTGCCAAAAATACTTGTAACCCAGCCGGAGCCGGGCAGTAGTGACATCCAATTGTCTGCTTATCTTGTTGGATGCACCATAGACATGTGGCTCCTCCTGCATGATGGAATGATGTTAGATGGACTGACTGGTGTCAATCTCCCTCAGTCTTAAGCCAATAAAGTTCATTTGAAGTTCTTTTCGAATTATTGTTCTCAAACTGCTAACCGACAAGCCAAGATTGTAATCTACTCCCTCTTTGAAGGCATTTAATTTAGCCTTTTTTTCAGTTTTATCATGCACCTCACTTACACCTGAAGACTAATGAGATGCAGTCCACAGGTGTACTCCGACTCCACTCTCCTAGTATAACCCCAAAGTGACTTATTTCGATTAGAGTCTTTGTAAATTTGTAATGTCTTATTATTGTGTAAATAGGTATGATAGGGCTCACATGTAAATAGCTCATTACCACTGTAACTTGTTGAGGAATAAGAACTTTGCAGCCCAGTCCCTGGACCCATTATGTACCTCTGTAAATCTTCAGACTACCATCCACACTATGGCGTATGGGGTGCATAATAAAGATATTAAACTAACTCAAGCGACACAACTAAGTTCCATAAGTAAGTCTATTTAGGTACAAACACACATAAGTGCAATTACCAGTAATAGTGGCAAAATTACAGACAAAAATTTTAGGTAAATGGACACAGGTGCATCTAATGTAACATTTTATTGTAACGGCTTGACAAAGTTCCTGGAGAGCGAAACATAGTCACAATACAATGTCACATTAGATGCATCTGTGTCTATTTGCCTAACATAGTGTAAATTACCTAAGTATACCCAGCTAGGATAACCCATAAAAGGTCTGGATATTTCTTTAACGATTTTAATGGGAAGCCGATGTGGGATGTGGGCGTCCCTCTCTGCTGGGCTTGGCAAGACAAGTCCACCTGGCTTACTTCACCAGTTACAGTTTGTTTCTATTTGCATAGGGAGCCTCTGTTCCGCTTATTTGATCGATCATCTTTGGTTAATATATCTTCCCCATACTCACTGAGGACTCGATATGACGTAAGCTGTGAGTGGTCTTAAAACCCAGCTTCTCTGGGCGGACTTCTGCACCAGCCTTCGTCGGGTGTGGACGTCTCTCTTGCCTGTGTATCAGTGACAAATTTCCACCGTTCTCTCTGGGACGCTTGTCCTCATCTATTTTGCCCGCCGGGCACTCTACAGGAGGGGCACCTGTTCATCGGCTTACTTTTAGCCTGCTCCATTTTTTTCCGCTCTGTGGAAAATTCTTTATCGGTCTTTGGTTGGAAGCCGGTTACTAAACTCAGGTGGGGTGTAGGCGTCCCTCTCTGCTGGGGCTTGGTAAGGGCGTCCACCGGATATAATTGGCAACTTCAAGTTTCGCCCAGCCTTGGGCAACAATTTTTCCTCGTACCATCGAGAAGCCGGGCTCGATACGGCTTATGCTGTCAGTGGCCCTCATAAACCCAACAAAGAAAGAAACTTCTCTGGGCTTCACTCCTGGTTGCGTGAGCTCTATTCTTAAAGTTGTCTTATTATTACATTCATAGGGAAAGCTAAACCTGTAGGGGGTTGTACAGCGCCTAGTGAACTGCGAGACAGGTTCAATCCGAAGAAGGGGAATATAAGTCCAATTCATTAGATCAACAGCCCCTCACCGGCATCAAGGAACTTGGTAAAACTGTGTAAGACAGACAGACACAGACGGACACAGACAGACACACAGACAGACACACAGACAGACACACAGACAGACAGACACAGACACACACACAGACAGACACACACACAGACACAAACACAACCACACAGACACACACAGACACACCAGACCACACACACCACACACTCGGACACACACAGCTCGGACTCGACCCCCGCAGCCTCAACTAGGTGAGTACACACACACACACACACACACACACACACAACACACACACACACACACACACACACACACACACACACACACACACACACACACACACACACACACACACACACACACACACATATTCACACATACACACACACATATATACACACATACACACACACATATACACACATACACACACACACACATATACACACACACATACATACACACACATATACACACACACATATACACACACACATATACACATACATATACACATATACACACACATATACACAGACATATACACACACAGATACACACACATACAGATACACACACACACAGGAAATGGAAAAGCCTGGCAAGTGAGGTAGTGGAAGAAGGAACCATACATAGCTTTAAGATAAGGTATGATAAAGCTCATGGAGCAGGGAGAGAGAGGACCTAGTAGCACTTGGTGAAGAGGCGGGGCCAGGAGCCGAGTCTCGGCCCCTGCAGCTACAATTATGTGAGTACCGACCGACCCTAACCTTCCTTTGCACCAATAACTCATTACAGTTGTGACTAGGTATAAGCGGGTATAAACGTAAGTAAATTTACTTATGATTCATTACCTTTGTACCTTGTTCAGTTATCATAACTTTGGGACCCAATCCCTGGACCCATTATGTACCTCTGTAATCTGTAAATACCTCTGTAACTTGTCATGATTGTGACCACATCTACCTGGAGTTCATTACCTTTGTAACTTGCTCAGCTATCAAAACTATGGGGCCCAGTCCCTGGACCCATTATGTACCTCTGTAATCTTTTGACTATCGCCCATGGGATGGGTATGGGGTGCATAATAAACATATTAAACTAAAACTTAAGTGGTAAAACTATGTAAGTTTATTTAGGCACAGGTACACATAAGTACAATTATCATACATAGTGTAAATTACCTCTCTCTCTCTCTTAACCCTTCAGGATAGCCCAAAAAAAGCCAGTGACTTACTTCCAATGGGGTCCTACCTCTACCATTTCGCTGTTTAAGTCTCTCCACTTGACCATTCTAAGGCTAAAGAAGTGTTTCCTAACATCCCTGTGACCCATTTGTTTTTTAATTTCCAGCTGTGCTCTTTTGTACCTGAGACTCGCCTCTCAAGCAGCCTCACTGTCCACCCTGTGTATTCCTCTCTTTAATAATAATAATAATAATAATATTGATCTTTATTTCTACAGGTACATGTACAACATATACAAACCATAGCTGACATCATTGACATACCACTTATTGTGCAGAGCATTTTGGGCAAATTAGGTAAATTTTGTCACCAGGATGTGCCCCACACCAGCTGGCTAACATCCAGGTACCTATTTACTGCTAGGCAAACAGGGACATTAGGTATCTTGAGGAAAGATGCTCTAATGTTTCCACCCGTGCCAGGGATCGAACCATGGACCTCAGTGTGTGAGCTGAGTGCACTACCAACCAAGCTATGGGACACATCTCACTATCTTGTGCCTTGTAGTCATGTCACTTCTGGTCCTTTTGTCTTCAGAGGTCGGTAGGTTTAGCTCTTCTAGCCTCTCCACATAGCTCATACCCCTCAGTGTTGGCACTAGTTTTGCTGTAAGTTTTTGCACTTTTTTCAGCTGCTTTATGTGCTGTATCAAATGTGGGTTCCATACTAGCACTTTATTCCAAGATGGCTCTGGTATGTGCTGTGTATAGGGTCATGAATGCCTCCTTGTTGAGAATCTTGGAAGCTACCCTTAAATTTACCAGCCTTGCTTCAGGAGAAATGCTTGGGACTATGCTCACCTTAAGGTTCTTCTCATTCAGGGAGGTTTGCAGCTCTTGTTCCCTGAGCATGTACGTACTCTGTTTCTGGTTGTCTTTACCCTTCCCTGATTTTCATTACTTTACTTATGCTGAGGTTAAATTCTAAGAGCCATTTGTCTGGCTAATCCTGCAGCTTGTTCAAATACATTTGTAGTCTTTCCTGGTCTTCTGTTTGTCCCCTCAAGGGAGGTTCCTTGATACTGGTGAGGGGCTCTTGATCTTCAGCCTCATACAGTAATATCTTTAAGTTGTTTAGTCCTAGTATAAATTCCCAAAATGCTGAACATAAATGCAGTGTTTTTTTTTAAATTGTACATATGTATACACTTGATAACATGATTATCTACTTTTTAAAATTATTATTATTATTTTTAATTTCAGATTGTTTTCATAGTGTCAAGTGTAGATGATGTTACACCTACTAAAGCAGGTGCAAATTATCCAGAAAACTGGCTGGCTCGTCTCCAGAAATTTTGGAACATCTCTAATGGTGAAGGGAAGCACAGATGACAACAACAACAAGAAAACATGGTATTACAGAATGGAAGACAACTCAAAAAAATATTGGCGATTGCAATCAGATAAGTACAATACAATAAAATTTTTATTTCTTTGTGCAGTACAAATAATACAATTAACATGTAACAAAACATTGATAGGCACACAAGAAAGCCACTAATTATGCAGTGCATTTTGGGCAAACTAATCCTGATGCTTAAATGTTACTTAAGATTTAGTCATAGACTATTAAGTAAGATTTCTTTTGTAGTTAACTGCAATCCTATGTACAGTAAGAAAGGTAGCTAATGAACCAATGGTCAATTACAAAAGTATTCAGTGATATTCAGTTTTGTGGAGTGATTGAATAGAGATAGTGAAAATACATCAAGTTACTTAGTTACAATAGAAATACAGTTGGACAGGATGTGTTACCAATTTTCTATGGGAGTTGAAGGAAGACTGGAAGAACAGGGACAGAGTTGGATGAAGCTGGTTTTATTTGACATAGCATATTGCTGTTTCAATTATTTTTGGGAGATGAGGTGCTTTTTAACAGTAGCTCTGAATTGATTGTTAGATAGGAGACCTTTCAAACAGGAATTTCTGGATCTTAGGGCCTTTTATGCGCATTAAATTTTTACACAGATCGAGATGGATACGGGGGATGTCAGAGAGGGTTTTGTGTCTTGTGATATGACTGTGTTCTGTTGTACCTATTAAGAAAATGTTTCAAAGAAGAGTTTATATTGGAATTGAACATCCTATAAATATAGTATGAGTGCATATTTTGTAAATTAAGTAAGTTCAAGCTTTTGAAGAGTGGGGGAGTGTGTTGTCTGGCACTGGAATGGGTGATGGTCCACACAGTTTGTTGAGTTATTAATGGTTTTAGGTGATTTGGTGTAGTAGATCCCCAGGCACAAATACCATTGGTGAAGTAAGGTTAGATTAGTGGGTAGTAAACTGTAATACACAAATAACCCACACACAAGAAGAGAAAATGAGCACTGCAATGCTCCTTTTCTCTCCTATGTGTGGGTTATAACTCAAATTGATGGCTCTTTTCATGATAAATCATTTTTTTTATGAATTTTGCAACTATCAATAGGTAATTATTGCATTGTGCAAATATGTACAGTAGCTACATACATACACTATTTTAGAAAAGAAATAATGTGGTGGTTTCTTTTATATTTTCTTAGAAAATGCTACATATGTGCTATATATACTTGACGTATATGCCGTATATACAGTATGTATATTATATATATTATGTATTATTTAATATTATTATTTTACATTGCAGAGAAGGGGTACCTGAAAGTGAGTGGCAGGGTATGCTTCATCATTTGTCTCCAAAACATGGCATCAGCCTCAGTGTAGTTCATGCGCTTCAAAAAGGCATTGATCTAAGACCATCGGCAATTGCAGGATGGTACGGAAATATTAAACGTAAAATAAGTGTAATGGATCAAAGGTAAGAGATTGACTATTTATAATGATGCAAGGGTTATTACAGGAATAGTGCTCTTCTCTTGTACTGTACCATTTAGTACTGGTATACTGTATAAAGTTCAGTTATTTTATACATCTTTAACCCGTAAACAGTCCAAGCATATCTACGTTCACGTGTGTAGTGCTACAAAAGTACATCTATGTTTTTTTTTACATACAGTGGACCCCCGCATACAGTTGGCATCACATAACGTTAAATCCGCATACCGCTACATTTTATCGCCAAGATTTTGCCTCGCATACCGCTAAAAAACCCGCTCAACGCTGTTCGTCCGAGACGCGTCTAATGTGCGCCCTTAGCCAGCCTCACATGTTCCGCCGGTGGCATTGTTTACCAGCCAGCCTCCGCGGTAACATCCAAGCATACAATTGGAACATTTCGTATTATTACAGTGTTTCTGGTGATTTTATCTGCAAAATAAGTGACCATGGGCCCCAAGAAAGCTTCTAGTGCCAACCCTACAGGAATAAGGGTGAGAATTACTATAGAGATGAAGAAAGAGATCATTGATAAGTATGAAAGTGGAGTGCGTGTCTCCGAGCTGGCCAGGTTGTATAGTAAACCCCAATCAACCATCGCTACTATTGTGGGCAACAAAAAGGCAATCAAGGAAGCTGTTCTTGCCAAAGGTTTAACTGTGTTTTTCGAAACAGAGATCGCAAGTGATGGAAGATGTTGAGAGACTGTTATTGGTGTGGATAAATGAGAAACAGATAGCAGGAGATAGCATCTCTCAAGTGATCATAAGTGAAAAGGCTAGGAAGTTGCATGAGGATTTAATTAAAAAAATGCCTGCAACTAGTGATGATGTGAGTGAATTTAAGGCCAGCAAAGGTTGGTTTGAGAGATTTAAGAGGCGTAGTGGCATACATAGTGTGATAAGGCATGGTGAGGCTGCCAGTTCGGACCACAAAGCAGCTGAAAAATATGTGCAGGAATTCAAGGAGTACATAGACAGTGAAGGACTGAAACCTGAACTAGTGTTTAATTGTGATGAAACAGGCCTGTTTTGGAAGAAAATGCCAAGCAGGACCTACATTACTCAGGAGGAAAAGGCACTCCCAGGACATAAGCCTATGAAAGACAGGCTTACTCTGTTGATGTGTTCCAATGCTACTGGTGATTGCAAAGTGAAGCCTTTATTAGTGTATCACTCTGAAACTCCCAGACTGTTCAGGCAAAAGAATGTCCTCAAGGAAAATTTGTGTGCTGTGGAGGGCAAACAGTAAGGCATGGGTCACTAGGGACTTTTTCTATGACTGGTTACACCATGCATTTGCCCCCAATGTGAAAGATTACCTAACTGAAAAGAAATTAGAACTTAAGTGCCTCCTGGTGTTAGACAATGCCCCTGGTCATCCTACAGACGTGGCAGAGCGATTTTATGGGGACATGAAATTCATTAAGGTGAAGTTTTTGCCTCCTAATACCACTCCTCTCCTGCAGCCCATGGACTAGCAGGTTATTGCAAACTTCAAAAAACTGTACACAAAAGCTCTGTTTGAAAGGTGCTTTGTAGTGACCTCAGAAACTCAACTGACTCTAAGAGACTTTTGGAGAGATCACTTTAATATCCTCAATTGTGTAAACCTTATAGGTACGGCTTGGGAGGGAGTGACTAAGAGGACCTTGAACTCTGCTTGGAAGAAACTGTGGCCAGAATGTGTAGACCAAAGGGATTTTGAAGGGTTTCAGGCTAACCCTGAGAATCCTATGCCAGTTGAGGAATCCATTATGGCATTGGGAAAGTCCTTGGGGTTGGAGGTTAGTGGGGATGATGTGGAAGAGTTGGTGGAGGAGGACAATGAAGAACTAACCACTGATGAGCTGATAGATCAACTTCAACAGCAAGAGGCCAGACCTGAGGAAACTGGTTCGAAGGAGGGGAGAGAGAAATTGAAGAAATTGCCTACTACAAAGATTAAGGAAATCTGTGCAAAGTCGCTTGAAGTGCAAACCTTCATGGATGAAAATCACCCTCACACAGCTATTGCAAGCCGTGCTGGTGACTATTACACTGACAATGTTGTGAAACACTTTAGGGAAGTCATAAAGGAACGAGAGGTACAGGCCACTATGGACAGATATGTTGTGCGACAGAAGTCCAGTGACTCTGAAGCTGGTCCTAGTGGCATTAAAAGAAGAAGGGAAGTAACCCCAGAAAAGGACTTGACACCTCAAGTCTTAATGGAAGGGGATTCCCCTTCTAAACACTAACACACTCTCCTCCTCCCGTCCCATCAATCATCACCATATCTTCAATAAAAGTAAGTGTCATGTAATTGTGCATGCCTTTTTCAGTTTGTGTGTATTAAAATTAATATTTCATGTGGTAAAAATGTTTTTTTTTCATACTTTGGGGTGTCTTGCACGGATTAATTTGATTTCCATTATTTCTTATGGGGAAAATTCATTCGCATAACGATAATTTCGCATAACAATGAGCTCTCTTGCACGGATTAATATCGCTATGCGGGGGTCCACTGTATTTTCAAATATGACAAAAAAAAAAAGTAGATCTAAGTTTTTTTTACACATTTTTAAATGTAAAAAAACAAAAAGAAGATCTACTTTTTTTACATACTTTCAAATGTTGAAAAAACGTATGTATACGTTTGGACCGTTTACGGGTTAAAATTTAGTTGATTGTGATGCATACACTCGTATAACTAATAATACTTTCCCAGTACAGTAGTATAGCAGTTGTTCATTATTGTATATCTCCTGGAAAATATTGCCTAGTACTGCAAGTGAGGTAAACACAAAATCCTGCACATTGTACATTTTCAAGATGATGTAACCCATGTATTATTTTCCTCTTATAAGAATCTAAGTTATAGGTAGGAGATTGGTAGACAGCAACCACCCAGGGAGGTACTACCGTCCTGCCAAGTGAGTGTAAAACGGAAGCCTGTATTTGTTTTAAGTGATGGTAGGATTGCTGGTGTCTTTTCTCTGTCTCATAAACATGCAAGATTTCAGGTATGTCTTGCTACTTCTACTTACACTTAGGTCACACTACACATACATGTACAAGCATATATATACACACCCCTCTGGGTTTTCTCCTGTTTTCTTACTAGTTCTTGTCCTTGTTATTTCCTGTTATCTCCATGGGGAAGTGGAACAGAATTCTTCCTCCGTAAGCCATGCGTGTTGTAAGAGGTGACTAAAATGCCAGGAGCAAGGGGCTAGTAACCCCTTCTCCTGTATAAATTACTAAATTTAAAAAGAGAAACTTTCATTTTGTTTGGGGGGGCCACCCTGCCTCAGTGGGATATGGCCGGTTTGTGGAAAGAAGAAGAAGAATCTAAGTGTCATTTTGACTGTAATTATTACCATAAATATTGTCATTTTATTTATTCAGCATTACTGTGTTATAATTTATTTTTTTTTATTTTTTTTTTTTTTTTTTATCACACTGACCGATTCCCACCAAGGCAGGGTGGCCCAAAATAAGAAGCACTTTTATCATTCACTCCATCACTGTCTTGCCAGAGTGGTTCTTCCACTACAGTTAAAAACTGCAACTTATCTCCACCCCTCCTTCAGAGCAGAGGCACTGTACTTCCCACCTCTACTCTCTCCTATCTAACATACTCACACATGCTTTCTGGAAGTCTAATCCCCTCCAACCTTTCCTAAGACAACTGCTACCCTGCCTTCTTTCCACTGCAGATTTATATGCTTTTCAGGTCATTCTGTTTTTGCTCCATCCTCTAAATGTCCGAACCACCTCAACAACCCCTCCTCATCCCTCTAGATTATACTTTCAGAAACCCCACACCTCCTAATCTCCAAGCTACGGATTCTCTGCATAATATTCTCACTGCACATTGCCCTCAGACATGACATCTCTACTGACATGTACTGTACAGTACATGTACGTGTATTACTGTTGTTGGTATAGTATTCTCCCCCTTGCAAGAGGTTTCTTGATGCACTTGTGCCCTTTTACCTAACATACTGGTGGAAGGTTGTTGATTCATGAAATTATGCCTGTCCTCACCTGTATAACCTTTAGAGGTATAGTGCTTCCTTCATCATTATCATTATCATCAATCATCATCCACCAACACCATTCAGTCACTATCTTGCCAGAAATGTTCTGATATAACAATTCTGTGCAATGCAGTCAATACTCTTACCACCTCCAGGGCTTATGTCTAGCTAACCAGTTTCTCTGAATCCCCTCATAAAAGTTACCTTGCTCACACCCCAAGGGAATGCTCCTAAAATTCAGATTTTTTTTTTCTTTTCCCTCCTCCAGCCATTCTAGAAATGACCTTTATATCTTCTCCTATCCACCCTATATTTATACACTCTTTTTATCATACTATCCCTCATCATTCCTCAGCCCTTTCAATTTTACCCACAGTGACCCCATATTACCTTTTAATTTGTATGCTACATATTCTCTGCATGATATTCACACTGCACATTACTCAAGTATGGCATCTCTGCTACTTCCAGCCTCCTCTTCACCTCAGTATTCAAAACCCATGCCTCAAAGCCAGATAGGTGTGTTGTTACCACTATACTTGGGTACATTCCACTTATTGCCTCCATAGATAAACTTCTTTTCACAGATTTCTCAACACACCACTCACCATTTCCCCCCCCCCCTCATATTTCCTCTGGTTCATCTTGTCTTTTGTAGATCCATCTGCTGACATGTCCACTCCCATATACATAAATGCATCTAATTCCTGCATACTCCCTCCCTCCAGTCTGATATTCAGTCTACCATTGCTTAGACTTTTTGTTATCCTCATCACTTTTTTATTTTGTTTATTTTTAATTTTCTCCATTTACATACCTTCCTGACTTCATTCACTAACCTTTGCAACTTGTCTTCAGAATCTCCCTAATGAACTGTGTTATCAACATCTTTCAATCCCATGCTTCTTCTCAATATCCTGGCATTCTGTTCTTATACAACTCCATCTCTAGATATAAATATGCATAAAATTTAGCAGGATATTTCTTATTCATTCTTTATGTAGGACAAGGTACTGTGATGCAAGAAATAAATATTTCCCTACTACATAGTCTCTTTCTTTACTTGCTGGCTTATGCCATCCTTAACCTTCAGTCTTTATTATTTTTCTTCCATTATAGAAATTTTTCACTCATTTTTATGTCTTATATTTAGCTTATCATCTAATATTAATCATTTAACAGTTTTAAAGCTAAACGAGTTGCTGCACTTGGCTATGACTTAGCAGCTGCCCATTTCTTAGTACACCGAGAAGGCAAGGTTCGTTTTAAAGATGCACAGGAGTGGACTCAACAAGATGAAAATGGAGAGTATGAACTAACTGGTCATTATTCCCCAAATGTTTTTGTGGAAGCAATTGATGCATCTGGAATAGACCTCTTGTATGAAGGCCTCGAATCTATGTGTAAGTAGAGTTTGATGATTTTTAAAACAGACACCAGGTAATAGAATAGCTAGCTTCTTTAGTTCATGAGTCCTAACATGCTTACTTTGTCTGCCCTCCTCTAACTTATCCATCTTTATTGTTGATTTTATACTGTCTTAATATACAATAAGTTACTACATCAATTTTGAACCTTACTTCTTTCTACCTATGTTCTTCTATCATCTCCATGTCTCCCTCTCTGCTCTCTCTCACCTTAGTTGTGTAGCTGTGAATGACTCTTATGAATTTAGGGCTTTTTATAAATATAATTTGTTGCCCACTCAGCACCAACATGAAATAATAGATGATATTTAGTTAGTAGGTTGGTAGACAGCAGCCACCCAGGGAGGTATTGTTGTCCTGCCATGCGAGTGTGAAATGGAAACCTGCAATTGTTTTAAATGATGGTAGAATTGCTGGTGTCTTTTTTTCTGTCTCATAAACATGCAAGGTTCCCGGTATGTCTTGCTACTTCTACTTACACTTAGGTCACACTACACATGCATGTACAAGCATATAGTATATGCAAACCCCTCTGGGTTTTCTTCTGTTTTCTTCCTAATTCTTGTTAATTTAAAATGAGACACTTTCGTTTTTCTTTTTTGGGTCACACTGCCTCAGTGGGATATGACCTGTTTGTTGAAGTAAGATGATGATTTTCCCCAATTGATATCGGGAAAAATCTTAATTTAATGGTTTACTCCACATGCTCCACCTTAGCATAACAGTCTCACTATGGGCTTAATGATTCCCCCATGGATATAATAATGATATTCTTATTGAATTTATTACATATTGTTTTTAAATAATTTTATATATAATATACACAGTTTTCTTTTACTATGGTTCATTTTTTCTGTTCTTCACCTGTTAATGCCTGTATATCATATTTTTGCCACTCATGGTTATGGCTGTATTTTATAAATGGCCTTATCAGTCTCTTGAATTGTCTATTTTTTTTATTTCATGGTGCTAATCCTGTATTTTTGTATTTCTTTTTCTCCTCCTACATCCTTAACAAGACTGACCTAAAAATTCTTATACGTACATTTTCACACACAGGCAGGCCCCACTTAAATAACAAAAAAAGGCACAATACCATGACTGGAACGATACACAAATAACCTGCACATAGAAGAGAGGAGCTTACGACGACGTTTCGGTCCGACTTGGACCATTTACAAGTCACACTAACCAGAAGTGGAGCAGGATGGCTATATATAGGCAGGAAGAGGTAGTGGTGGTAGTACTACTACTACCACTACTACTACTACTACCACCACTACCTCTTTCTGCCTATATATAGCCGTCCTGCTCCACTTCTGGTTAGTGTGACTTTGTAAATGGTCCAAGTCGGACCGAAACGTTGTCGTAAGCTCCTCTCTTCTATGTGCGGGTTATTTGTGTAAGGCCCCACTTATATAGCAGGTTAGGTTCCGGGATGCTTCTGTAAAGTGAAAATCGCTGTGAAGTGAAATATTCTTTTTTTTTCACTTTCAAATGCATATAAAAGACTGATAGCGTGAGCAATATAGCTATGCCTAAAAAATGCATATACAGTACACATATTGCTTTCCTTAAAAATTTTCTGTACTTAGCTTATAGTGAGCGGTGAATATATTTGTTGCCGAAAGTCTTAACCAATGAAGAATGGGTACACGTGTAATTAAAAACCGCTGTACAGTATTAGTGAAATGCTGTAAAATGAACCTCTGTAAAGCAGGGCCCTCCTGTACTTCATTTTACAATAAAATTTTTGATGGTGTTTGCTTTTCCTTTTTTTTCTTTTTTTAAATGTCACACTTTGAACTGTTACCTTTTTTGCATTATACTGTAGTAGTATTGTTTAATGTTTGAGCCATTCTCTACATCCTCCATGTTTTTTTTCTTTATATATATTGGTCATTTCCCACCAGGGTAGGGTTGATCAGAGAAGGAAACACATTATCTATCACTCGTTCAGTAGCATGGTGGTCTGATAGTCCTCCATTAGAATTAATTTCATTAATATCCATTTTATCATTCTCCTGTATAGATTTGCTTAAAAGTGCTCTTTACCTGCTGTTGTCATTTCCTCATAAGTTGTAATTTATGCATTTGCAGATGAAAAATGTATTAAATGAAAGATTCACTGATGGATACAACATTTACAGGTTATCTTAATCACTTGAAATGGCTAAGTGTTGCCAGCTGCCCAAATATTGATGACTGGTGCATTGACCGCATCTGTTGCCAGTATTCCAATACTCTTGAGTACCTTGATATCAGCAACTGTGTCAAAGTAACTGAATATGGTATTGCTGCCTTGGGACGTCTGAGGTGAGTTGCAGATCTCAATCTGGTGTGATTTTCATGATATGATAGTACTATTGTGCATGAAAGGATATTGTTGTTCCAGTACATAACTATTCTCAATGGCAGCTTGTCCATAGGAGCTGCAGAGCTGCAGTTCCCCCAGATGCTCACTGCCAGACTTATGACTTCATCAGCCTTACACTAAAATAATTTGCAACTCACAAATATATTACAGGAAAAATCTGTTGTATGTTGTTTTCAGTGTACAGGTCTCCCTCAACATTCGCGAGGGTTAGGGGATCAAGAGCCTCGCGAATGTTGAAAAACCATGAATGTTTGGTGCCCCAATATATTGTAGGGAAATATATTACAATACTACTTCCTTAACTTGTTGAACCATGAATAGTCATAAAATACATGAAAACGTCGTAAATTGTACTAAATATATACATGTTATGCTTTAATAACGTATGTTATTTAATGACATGTATGTTAATAACATGTATGTTATTAAATACCACAGACTCCACCACTGCCTCCACCACTGTGAGTCCCTACTACCCTCCCTCCAGCCCCCGCAACTGGCAGCCAGCCCTCCCACCACTGTGTGGTGAGTGTTTTGTTTGTTCATTATTTGCTATTAAACTACAGAATAAATAATGTAAACCCAATAATGTATTAGACAGTGACATCATGTGTTTACTCTTGAACACTGCAAAGAATCGAACATTTCTGCTATTGCTAATAATAACAGTAGTATATTAATAATAATAATAATAATAATAATAATAATAATAAATACGATATAATTGAAGAAGGAAATTGTACAAAAATACGAGGGAGTGGTTGACACATCGTCAGTGTGACTTTGTTTATGCTGGAGTGAACATTAGTCTCCCTGCTCTTCCAAACATTTCACAATAATTCAGCGGTTGAGGCAGTAGTATTTAATAACATATATGTTATAAATAATAATAGTACATGTTATTATTAATAACATGTATTATTATTAACATGTATGTATTTAATAACATATATGTTATAAATAATAATAGTACATATTATTAATAACATGTATTATTATTAACATGTATATTATTAAATACCATTGCCTCAATCACTGCCTCTACCACTCCAGTCACACTCAATCTACAAGCACCAAACACAATGAATTATTGTGAAATGTTTGGAAGAGCAGGGAGACTAATGTTCACTCCAGCATAAACAAAGTCACACTGACGATGTGTCAACCACTCCCTCGTATTTTTGTACAATTTCCTTCTTCAATTATATCATATTTATTATTATTATTATTATTATTATTATTATTATTATTATTATTATTATTATTATTACTATTATTATTATTAGCTGTAGCAGAAATGTTTAATTCTTTGCAGTGTTCAAGAGTAAACACATGATGTCACCGTCTAATACCTGTCCGAATAGCTATTCCAATATGCAGTCGTGAATGGGTTTACATTATTTATACTGTAGTTTAATAGCAAATAATGAACAAACAAAACACTCACCACACTGAGTGGTGGGAGGGCTGGCTGCCAGTTGCGGGGGTCGGAGGGAGGGTAGTAGGGGCTCACAGGTGGCGGGAAACTTAAATATGATTTGGCGGCTGGGAATTTGGCAGTTGGGAATTTGCGAATGTGTGAAGCCCGTGAAAGTTGAAAACGTGAATGTTGAGGGAGACCTGTATTTCTTTCTTCTTTCAACACACCGGCCGTATCCCACCTAGGCGGGGCGGCCCAAAAGGAAAAACGAAAGTTTCTCCTTTTACATTTAGTAATATATACAGGAGAAGAGGTTACTAGCCCCTTGCTCCCGGCATTTTAGTCACCTCTCTGTATTTATAAGCGAATTTTTATTTTTTTTGGTTGAAACGAGATAAAAATGATTAAAAATAGATGTTTGATGTGGTATGATAGTATAGGTATTACTGGCGCTACGAGCTACCACTGACTATTCTGTATCTTTACACTGTGATTTTTTTTTTTTTTTCAACAAGTCGGCTGTCTCCCACCGAGGCAGGGTGACCCAAAAAGAAAGAAAATCCCCAGAAAGAAAATACTTTCATCATCATTCAACACTTTCACCTCACTCACACATAATCACTGTTTATGCAGTGGTGCTCAGAACACAACAGTTTAGAGCATATATGTATAAAGATACACAACATATCCCTCCAAACTGTGTATAACTATAGAAGCACATGGTGTCCATCTTTATTACAGCCTCTCCTCGCTTAATGATGGAGTTCTGTTCCTAAGACCATTTTGGTAAACAAATTTGTCACTAAGCAAGGAGCATACTTCAGTGGACCCCCGCCTTACGATATTAATCCGTTCCTGAGAGCTCATCGTAAGCCGAAATTATCGTTAGCCGAATTAATTTTCCCCATAAGAAATAATGGAAATCAAATAAATCCGTTCTTGACACCCCAAAGTATGAAAAAATTTTGTTTTTTACCACATGAAATATTAATTTTAATGCACACAAACTGAAGAAGACATGCACAATTACTACTCTACTAAGAATAGAATACATGACACTTACCTTTATTGAAGATCTGGTGATGATTGATGGGATGGGGGGAGGGGAGTGTGTGGAAGTTATTGTTTAGAAGGGGAATCCCCTTCCATTAGGACTTGAGGTAGCAAGTCCTTTTCTGGGGTTACTTCCCTTCTTCTTTTAATGCCACTAGGACAAGCTTGAGTCACTGGACCTCTGTCGCACAACAAATCTGTCCATAGAGCTCTGTACCTCCCATTCCTTTAAGACTTTCCTAAAATGGGCCATAACGTTGTCATTGTACAGGTTGCCAACATGGCTTGCAGTAGCTGTGTCAGGGTGATTTTCATCCATGAAGGTTTGCAGTTCAACCCACTTTGCACACATTTCCTTAATCTCTTTTTTCAATTCCATACTAATTCTCGCCCTTTTTACCACAGGGATGGCACTAGAAGCTTTCTTGGGGTCCATGGTGACTTATTTTGCAGTTTCAAGCACTAAAAACACTGGGATAATGTGAAATATACCGAATGTATGTGTAGATGCAACCGCACTGGCTGGCTTGTAAACACTGGCGCTGATGCCACATGTGGGACACATCCCGGACGAATCACGTAAGGCGAGTTTTTTTATCGTGAGGCGAAGCAAAATTTTTGCATTCAAATGCTTCGTATGGCGGATTTAACGTAACGCAATGCGTTCGTAAGGCGGGGGTCCACTGTATAATGGTAGTGGGTTTGTATCATCCATCCTTGATATTGTTTTAATGTCACCTTTGCACCATTTATAACATTTTTAGTATATTTTTAAATGTTTATACAGTAGTGTACTGTATATTGTAATAAACAGAATACAGGCAATCAGCTGTAATATACATTATTTAGGTGTGCATACTGGTCAGAGAGCCCGTCGTAAGTCTGAGTCGTCGGTAAATGAATATGTCGCTAAGGAAACATGTCCCAATGTTTCCACCCATACTGGGGATCAAACCACGGACCTCAGTGTGTGAGCTGAGTGCACTAGCAATCAAGCTACAGGACATCTAAGTTATCTGTGCTCACCAACATACTTTCTACTTCAACTCATTTAAATGACCATTTGCGTCTGTGATATACTAGCAGTTCCCAGGTTGCAGCGTTTCTTTGTCCATCCACATTCTTGCTTGACTTCTAACTACAGGGAAGTGAATTGTTAAAGCTTTATAAGATGCTAATAAATTTACTTATGTTGATTGAGACAAATTGAATATAAGTTTTTAAATTATTTTAATGCTTAATTATTGTTCAGCTGATAATGTTAGATTTAGTAGATGCATAAACATGCATCTATGATATACAAGGTGAACCATAGAAATCATGTTCTTTCAACACACTAGCCACCATAGAAATGATGAGGGTAAAAAGGTGGGTGGTACATTGAGGTATCTGTGGAGACAAAGAACATTATCCATGGAGGCAGAAAGGTGAATGTATGAGAGTATGGTAGTACCAACACACTTATATGGGTGTGAAGCATGGGTTGTGAATGTTGCAGCAAAGAGGAGGTTGGAAGCAGTGAAGATATATCTGAGGGCAATGTGTAGTGTAAATATTATGCAGAGAATTTGCAGTTTGGAGATTAGAGGAAGGTGCAGGGTTACTAAAAGTATTATCCAGAGGGCTGAGTAGGAGTTGTTGATGTAGTTTAGACATTTAGAGAGGTTGGAGCAAAATGGGATAACTTGGAGAATGTATCAATCTATAGTGGAGGGAAGGTGGGGTAGGCGTCACCCTAGGAACGGTTGGAGGGAGGGGGTAAAGGTTTTGTATATGAGGGGCTTGGACATTCAGCAGGCATGTGTGAGCATGTTAGATAGGAGGGAGTGCTGTACACTGTTGGAGTGTGAGCAAAGCAACATTTAGGAAGGGATTCAGAGAAACCAGCTAGCCAGACTCGAGTTCTGGAGGTGGGATGTACATGCCTGCTCTCTAAAGGAGGGGCATCTGAACTGTAGTATCAATATGCCTCTGGCAAGACAGTGGTAGAGTGAGTGATGGTGAAAGTGTTTCTTCTTTTTCGGGTCACTGCCACAGTGGGAGACGCCATGTGTGCTAAAAGAAATAAACGCATATAAATTAATCTGTAATATATTCTTATTTTTCAGAAAGCTTAAGCATCTGTATCTTAATGGATTAGATGATGTGACAAATATTAAGTTGCTCTGCTTACTCCTTGAAGATATCCTGCCTGATCTTCACATTGAAGGGATTCAGTATATGGATCCGAAGTTACTACATCATGTGTGACTACAGTATTGTTCTTTAAGCATTATAAACTATAAATAGAAGTAGTTTTTATGATATAATTTAAACAATCTTTTCCATTAAAAGTACTTTAACACACAATCCATTTCCCTCAAAAGAGAGGGTGATCCAAAGAGGAAAACTCATGTGCCATCACTCATTCTCTAGCTGTGTATCCAGAATTGCATGGACACAATTGAATTGTGAACTAGGAATTATTTAGGTTTATTTAGGTTTCCAAGGTACTCCTTCCTTCTAAAGTACAGTGGACCCCCGCATAACGATCACCTCCGAATGCGACCAATTATGTAAGTGCGTTTGTACGTGTATGTTTGGGGGTCTGAAATGGACTAATCTACTTCACAATATTCCTTATGGGAACAAATTCGGTCAGTACTGGCACCTGAACATACTTCTGGAGTGAAAAAATATCGTTAACCGGGGGTCCACTGTACAGTGGTACCTCGGGATACGAACAGCTCAAAACTCGAACAGTTATGTAAGTGTATTTATGTAAGTGCTTTTGTAAGTGTATTTTTGGGGGTTTGAAATGAATTAATCTGATTTACATTATTCCTTATGGGAACAAATTCGTTTGGTATCGGCACTTGCACAGCCTTCTGGAATGAAAAAAATTTGTATCCCAAGGTACCACTGTATCTGTAACTAAACTATTCTTTTTGGGCCACCCTGACTTGGTGGGATACGGCCCGTTTGTTGAAGGAAAAAAAAATATATATACACATATATAGTCATCGGGCTCTTTCATAGAACTGTTATTAGCTTCTGGAAGCTTGGTGTTGTGTGTGTTAGTGTAGACTTCTAAATGTGCTGAGTCAGGGTGTGGCTGCTGTCAAAATGACATATTATACCATCTCTCACTACCCTTACTGCCTGTCAACACCCATGGGGCCCTATGCCTTCTTCCCCACCGTCCTTCCTACCTACCTACCTTTCTTTCTCCTTTCTTTTTTTCTTTCTTCTGGTATCCTGGGCATTGCTTATGGTCACAAACTCCTCAAAACCATGAAATTCATCTTCGCTTACATCTCCATCTGTGTTAGATCTATTACGTGGGAAGAGAGGAGAGCCAATTTCGCCGGGGAGTCAGATATTTCCCGCTAGGCATGCTGAACAAGGACTATTGAAATGGCATTCCCACAATGCACCACTGTGCACACTGACCATGGAGACTCATTCTCTCACATGTGGGTCTACCAGCTTTCTCCTGCTCAATTTGAAGCGACTAGAATTTTGGTGTTTTAATACTTCAAAAACATTGGCTCGTAAGACGAATACACATGTATATACTGACCAAAACAGTCAAAGGGTTAAAACAATATCAGAGATGGTTGGCACAAACCCACTACCATTACATGTATATTCATTCTCCTCACTTAGCGACGAATTCGTTTACCGACGTGGTCTTAGGAACGGAACTCCATCATTCAGTGAGGAGAGGCTGTAATTTGAAATGTCTGTATTAGCAGAATGCTGTAAAGCAGGGCCCTCCTTAACAAATAATTGGAGTTATGTTTTCCATCTCATTTAAAAAGTAAGAGATTGCTTTTTTTGTTTTTAAGAATGTAGTACTGTACTGTATTATATTAGTAAGAGAACTGTTAAATGTTAATTTAAGTCGCAAAAAATGAATTTTTGCTACTATTAAATTTGTTAAGAAAACATGATCTTCAGAATGTATGAGCTAAAGAATTCAGTGACATTTATTTCATTTATTTTATACCCTACCTCAGTGGGAGATAGCTGGTGTGTTAAAAATAAATGTGTGTGTAAAGAAAAAAAAAAACAGGTAATAACAGAACAGTTTGAAGTTTATTTATTGAAAGAAAATAAGTATGCTTATTAACCCTTTCAGGGTTTCTGACGTACTAGTACGGCTTACGCACCAAGGTTATTGACGTACTAGAATGCCTAAATTCTAGCGCCTTCAAATCTGGTGAGAGAAAGCTGTTAGGCCTACATATGAAAGAATGGGTCTATGTGGCCAGTGTTAGCAGTATAAAAAAAAAATCCTGCAGCACACAGTGCATAATGAGGAAAAAAAAAAACTCCAACTGTGTTTTTGATTTTAAACAGGGACTTTGCAGTGTATTTTTGTATGGTATTTATGGTTGTATTCTAGTTTTCCTGGTCTCATTTTATAGAATGGAAGACATATTACAGAAATTGAGATGATTTTGATTGGTTTCATATTGAAAAGTGCCTTGAAATTGAGCTCAAAGTAGCAGAAATGTTCGATTTTTACCAAATTTCAAAAGTAAACAAATCATGCCAAGCGTCCAGTACACATCAACTGGTGAATCTGATATTCTTTCACAAGTGCACTGATATTATTTATACCATTTCTACACCATTTCTACACTAATGCAGTAGTCTGCATAACAGTAAATCTTCTATTTTTTTAGAATAAAAATTCAAAGTGGAAAGCAAAAGAGATGTAAGAGGGGCCTGGGGACGTGACTAATAAACAGAGGAAATGTGATTTTAGTGCCAGAAATGTCAATCTTGCTTTTTCTGGACCCTATTTGGAAATTGGCATCTGAAATTTGTGTGAAATTGGCAAAATTGCCAATTTCTGTCCATTTTATTGGATAGTTGAAATTGGTAAGTTGGTGGTTTCTTGTACTCATTCGATAGAAAAAATGGAGTTATAGCGAAATAGATATGATTTTTGTTGACTAGTACACTGAAATTGACCAAAAATATGGCTCAAAGTGGGCGAAATCGCCGATGCGTAAACATTGTCAAGATTGCTAACTTTGCGAGAGCATAATTCCATAAGTTTTCCATCAAATTTCATAGTTTTAGTGTCATTATGATCGGGAAAAGATTCTCTATCATTTCATAAGAAAAAATAATTTTTTTTTTTCGAAAAATTTTCAACTCTGAGAACGAGTTTAGGAGAGGGCCTCTCAACCCTGAAAGGGTTAACAAATAAAGAAATCAGGATGTGGTAGCTTTCCTTCTTTTGAGAAGAAAATTTCTTAACCCTTAGAATATGTACATTGCAGTTCTGGAATGGTCCAACTACCTGACAGTGCAACTTCTAATTTTGACAAGGCAGCCATTCTTTTTTAACTTTGCTGTTTTTCTCTGATGTTTCAGGGATCAGTGAGATAGTCTTGAATATTTATATATTTTTTTTTATCAGCTTGCACACTTGCATTTTTCTCCCCTTGATTCATTTGAATACCTGGTAGTAATATTGTTTTTGATGATAGTGTAATATTTTGTTATAAGAAATTAATAGAATGTCTTGAAAATATAATTTATATAAAAGATGATAAATATAATGCAAATTCATAATGAAATGAGCTGAAGGAATAGGATAAATATTCTTTCTTGCTCTTGGTGCATTTCTCACCTCTACAATCTTCTAATTTGCAATGCACCTCTTTTGCTTTCCATCACCTGGTATTGATACTAGTGATGTTCAGTACATGAATATTATCATAAAGAAGACTTGATAGTATCTATTTGTAATTTTGTAATACATTTCTACTCCATTTTCTGGAGTTATGTCATACAATGTGAAGATATTAATAGTATAACTGATGAAGTAGCTTGCACATAAAATGTATAAAGGCTAATGCAATAAACTTCCTTTTTTCACATTAGATGGCAGAATAATGACACACATGTAAATACAATTTAATTTCTATTTGTAGATATTGGTGCACACAAAGATGAACTTGATTTATTATAAAAGTTTTAAGGGATAATTATTTTTTAAGTTTTACTCAAATTGAATACCATATATAGTATTTGAAAATGTTGAATCATTGAAAATTTGTTCTAATTTTTCAAAAAATACTGGTTGTCTCCCACTGAAGAAGGATAACTTACAAAAAAGAGGAGATACATACATTTACTGTCATTCATTGAACTACTGTCTTGTCAAAAATGTGCTGATATCACAGTGCCGATGGCATTGCAACATCCTCACCCTCCTTCAGAGTGGTCACTGTATTTTCAGGGCTCAAGTTCATCTAACTAGTTTCCCTGAAAACACTTGTCTCTACTCATTTATATATACATAATGAAAAATATTGCTCTAATTGTGTTGTAATGCAAGAATATTTAAAAAAAAGAATTTATCTAATAATTAATAATTTTAAGGAAAATAAGGGTCAAATATGAAAAACTTTTGGTTTCTTATTATTGAGAAAATGCAAAAACACATATAAACAGTTTTATTTTTTCATCGATAACACTAGTTGGTAACCAACCAGCTGATTCATGATGCAGTGAAATTTTAAAATGTCATAATCTTAACAGCAGTCTGATGAGTGATATTTCCTGTGTTTTGATGTAGTAAGACTGCCATCACACATCCTACTGAGTTACTGGGTGCTCATAATGTACTAAACTACTTGACACATCCTACTGAGTTGCTGGGTGCTCATAATGTACTAAACTACTTGACACATCCTAATGAGTTGCTGGGTGCTCATAATGTACTAAACTACTTGACACATCCTACTGAGTTACTGGGTGCTCATAATGTACTAAACTACTTGACACATTCTACTGAGTTACTGGGTGCTCATAATGTACTAAACTACTTGACACATCCTACTGAGTTACTGGGTGCTCATAATGTACTAAACTACTTGGCACATTCTACTGAGTTACTGGGTGCTCATAATGTACTAAACTACTTGACACATCCTACTGAGTTGCTGGGTGCTCATAATGTACTAAACTACTTGACACATCCTACTGAGTTACTGGGTGCTCATAATGTTCTAAACTACTTGACACATCCTACTAAGTTACTGGATACTCATAACCCACAAGACACAAACACCTCTTTGATATCACCCATGTTCAACTCAACCTGAGTAGACTCAATGTGCATAAAAGACCCTAAAATCTGGAACTGTGTTTGAATATTTCAACTTAAGGTTTTCTGTTCAGAAACCACTTCAGAGCTACTGCTAAGAAGCACTTCCTTACCTCTCTGTGATTGTTGACAGCATTATACTATGTTAAACAAATAGTGAAATCTTGTTTTCATCCAATTCCATCCCTGTACTTCGTGTTTCAGCTTTTGTCTTTCTACTCTCATTTATTGCTTGAAATGCTGCAATCCCTTCTTACAGACATAGCTGTTGTACTGGTAATATTACATTGTATTTATCTTTGCCATTACTTCTTACATACATATCTTCAGATATAATCTTCAGAGAAATTATATTTCATTATTTTGTTTTGTAGTGTAATTTAAGTATCACTCACCTTATTAAAAGTAGACAATTACATTTTTTATTTTATTTTTATTTTATGAATTATCTTGAACATTAAAATGGTATAAAATACAGACAGGTTGTTAGGTAAGACACATATGCAACAGTTAGGTATCTTTATTTCGAAACGTTTCGCCTACACAGTAGGCTTCTTCAGTCGAGTACAGAAAAGTTGATAGAAGCAGAAGAGACTTGAAGACGATGTAATCAGTCCATCACCCTTAAAGTTTTGAGGTGGTCAGTCCCTCAGTCTGGAGAAGAGCATTGTTCCATAGTCTGAAACAATATGGAGTTGAAGTGACAGGATGGAGCCTTATATAGCGCCAGGAGGTGAGACGTAGGTCACTAGCAGAACGCAGATGTTGGGAGGTCAGGTCCCTCTCAAATCCAGCCGTTCTCACTAGTAGAGGTTGTCGAAGTTGATTTCAGGTCTGTACCAAGATACCCTTGTGTTGCAGTGTCTGACAGATTGAACATTAAAATGGTATAAAATACCGACAGGTATTTTATACCATTTTAATACCTAACAACCTGTCGGTATTTTATACCATTTTAATGTTCAATCTGTCAGACACTGCAACACAAGGGTATCTTGGTACAGACCTGAAATCAACTTCGACAACCTCTACTAGTGAGAACGGCTGGATTTGAGAGGGACCTGACCTCCCAACATCTGCGTTCTGCTAGTGACCTACGTCTCACCTCCTGGCGCTATATAAGGCTCCATCCTGTCACTTCAACTCCATATTGTTTCAGACTATGGAACAATGCTCTTCTCCAGACTGAGGGACTGACCACCTCAAAACTTTAAGGGTGATGGACTGATTACATCGTCTTCAAGTCTCTTCTGCTTCTATCAACTTTTCTGTACTCGACTGAAGAAGCCTACTGTGTAGGCGAAACGTTTCGAAATAAAGATACCTAACTGTTGCATATGTGTCTTACCTAATGAATTATCTTGTAGCTTATATCTATTTATAAATTTCTATTAATACTGTACTGTGTATTAGACCCTTAAAAAATATTAAAATGAAACTATGTAGACTGTAAATATTGTATAGTCTTAATTTTGCCCAGAATGCTATGCATCCTGTAGGCCTTCAGATTATGTATGCTTTGTCTGTACAATAATTTTGAAATAAAGATTTAGATTTGTATTTGTACTGAACGATTGGACACATCCTACCAAGTCGCTTATATTCATAACCTATTGAATTATTGTATACTCACTTTCTAATGAGTTACTGAATACTTGTAACCTACTGAACTGTTAGATAAATCTTCAGTGGCACATCCTCAGGAGAGCTAATGGGGCTAGAGCTTTCCTTCAGATGCAACTGCTTTTTAATTTTTTTCAATTGATGGCTAATTTTCACTATTATGTTGACCAATGGCAATGGAAGCATAATATTTTAAGAAATTTCACAAGCTTACTGAAAAATATATTTTTAAAAACAATTTCTTTGATTTTTTTAGCATTTTACAGTTTACAAATAAACAGCACATAGAAGAGAGGAGCTTACGACGACGTTTCGGTCCGAAACGTCGTCACAAGCTCCTCTCTTCTATGTGCGGGTTACTTGTGTATCGTTCCAGTCACAGTATTGTGCCCTTTTTTGTTATTTATTATCTTACGGTTTCTTAAGCCCTTCCTAGATTAGTGAGTGTATACTCACATCATATTAAATTACCACTTCTGCCACCCACACCACTACCACTACCCAAACCTACACCATCACCACCTACAGCACCACCACCACCCCCTACAACACCACCACCACCACCCCCTACAACACCACCACAGTATAGTGCCTTACACAGAGTATACTGTAAACTAATGGCCCCCTTCAAGACAAGTGAGATTGTAGAGCTGAAAAGCATAGAGAACTTTCACTACCTGTATATTCAGTCAAACATCTGTTTGAAATCCCTTGAATTGTACTCTTTGGAATGTAGGTGAGAGAAATGCATCATAATTTTCACCTGGAAAATCCTAGAGACACTAATTCCAAACTTGCGCACTGAAATCACTCCATATGAAGGGAAGAGACTTAGAAGACAGTGTAAAGTACCTCCAGTGAAAAGCAGGATTGTGACGAGTACCCTAGGAGAGAACTTGATAAATGTGAGAGGTCCCCAACTTTTCAAAGCCCTCTCTTTGAGCATAAAGGAAATTACCAACAAACCTTTGGCCATTTTCATGAAAGAACTTAATCTCCTGAAGTTGGTTCCTGACCAGGTGGTGGCTGTAGCTTCTATGTTGGACTGCATGCAGTCAGCAGTAACGGACTGGTTGATCAGGCCTTGATCCACCAGGAGGCCTGGACTAGGATCAGGCTGTTGGGGGCATTGACCCTCAGAAGCATCCTTCTGGTATATGCCTAGCAACTGTGTGACATTTTCATAATCAAACATTCCATTTTCATTCAATAGCTGTTAGTGTAATAAAGTTCTAGAGCCAAAGCTCATTATAGTGTTACAAAACACTGTCTTCTTTTAACATTATTAGCAATCACACATGCCATAATCTGAGCATCACTGAACACAGTGCAGAGTTCAACCCAAAGGTGAGTGAGCCCATTCTTGAAGCTGCATGGCTCCACTTGCAATTGGTGTATCAAAATCCAGGGATTTAACCACATGTTGCCATGTGTTTCATTGATCAAAATTTTGTCCAGCAGCTGGCAATATAACTTTCCACACATACTGTGTGTTCTGTTGCAGCTCTAAGAAGAGCATTAGGGCTGGGTTTTGATTTGAATTAATGGTCCTGTACATATAGTATACAGAGTAATAATACCTATATCAGTGCTTCAGAATTCTTATAAAAGTAAAAACATGACATTTGTACATAGTAGTAGTAGAAGTAGTAATGTACAGAATTATGCTTTAAATAAAAATTTTTTGTTGGTGTACATTATACACTTCCAATATGCTGGACACTCACCCTGTGACATCACATGTAAACACTTTACAAAATCTAAGGGAAAAGTTAGACCCTGACGTCACAGCCTTTACACTCTATGTATGCTCTGTACACTCTCCCTGCACATTACCTCTCTCCCTCTTCCTGTACACACTCCCTGCCTCTACACTCTCACAGTACATTCCCTTCATACTTTCCATACATTCCCTGTTTACTCTACTTTCCCTGTACACTACTTACCTCCACCTTGCTCAGCCTCCCTCAACAATTTTACAGTACTCTCCCTGAATATTCACTATGTTCCCTATACAATAAATGGACATTCACTGTACACTCATTACACTTCCAGTACATTTGCAGTATTTGCCATTCCTCTCTCTATATATATATATTATACACACCCTGAACACTGTGCATTATAATCTCCCTGCCTCCTTGTACAGGGAGTGTACTCTCAGTATGCACCCTGCCTCTCCTCTCTCTATTCTTTACCTCCCTCTCCCTGTGTATTCATTGTACACTGTCTCCCTCTCCCTGTACACTACCTCCCTCACCTTTTACACACTCCCTACCTGTCCTAGTACATTCCCTTCCTCCACTCACCCTGTATATTCCCTGTATCCCTCTCCCTACCACTCTCACTATACACTCCCTGCATCCTTGTACACTCCCTGCAACCTTGTACACTCCCTGCATCCTTGTCCACTCCCTGCATCCTTGCACACTCCCTGCATCCTTGCACACTCCCTGCATCCTTGCACACCCCCCTGCATCCTTTCACACCCCCTGCATCCTTGTACACCCTCTGCATCATTGTACACCCCCTGCATCCTTGTACACCCCCTGCATCCTTGTACACCCTGCATCCTTGTACACTCCCTGTACACCCACTGCATCCTTGTACACTCCTTGCATACTCCCTGCATCCTTGCACACTCCTTGCATCCTTGCACTCCCCCTGCATCCTTTCACACCCCCTGCATTTTTGTACACCCCCTGCATCCTTGTACACTCCCTGTATCCTTGTACATTCCCTGTATCCTTGTACATTCCCTGCATCCTTGTACATCCCCTGCATTCTTGCACACTCCCTGTTTCCTTGGACACTCCCTGCATCCTTGTACACTCCCTGCATCCTTGCATGCTCCCTGCATCCTTGCACACTCCCTGCCTCTGTACTCTCCCTCCCTCTGTACTCTCCCTCCCTCTGTACTCTCCCTCCCTCTGTACTCTCCCTCCCTCTCTTCATTGTACACTCTGCACTACCTGCCTCCATCTTTCTGTACTCTCTACTTTAAGGGATTATATTTTACTGCATTTCATTAAGTGTTGAACTCTCATAGGTAATTCAGCAGAAGTGGTTAAGACTATCCTAAGTCCACTAATCGCCATCACATTTATGACCAGTCGGATTGTTAATGATGGGTGGCCCTGGAGGGCACAGGTCACCAAGAAAGGAAAAAAAATGTGCAAAATGTTTCAGGAAACTTTGGGAAATAATGATCACGGAGCTACGTAATAAATTTCAGGAAAAAAAGTTGTCATTTCCATTTTCTTCTCCCCCTCCTCTTTCAGGACAACCCTCCTTGTGCCATGGCTTCATCAAAACGTTTGTCGTCTCTTCTAAATCCGGATATGATGCATTTAATGTGTTATGATGGTGGTTGAGAGTGTATTAAGAGCATCAAGAAATGGTTGGAAGAGACTCGAGTCATGAGGCCACAGAGCAAAGATGTCATCTACATAGAGGAGCCAGAGTGAAGGGCGCACATCGATAGTAGGAAGAAGAACCAATGAAAGGTTTCTTCATCTCCCTATACCTACTGATGTCTTTCTTGATCTTATCCGCCTTTGTGTGGACTCTAATTCCTTTTCCTTCCAAGGAAAATATTTTCAAACCTTCAGTGTCGCTATGGGCAATCCTCTTTCTCCTGTCCTTGCTAACATTTACATGGAATACTTCAAGACTGTTCTTCCTACTATCGATGTGTGCCCTTCACTCTGGCTCCACTATGTAGATGACATCTTCGCTTTGGCCTCATGACTAGTCTTTTCCAACCATTTCTTGATGTTCTTTATAATCTTGCCCCTTCCATTAAGTTTAAAGTTGAATGGGAATCTAATTCCTTGCTTCCTTTCCTTGATGTCCATGTCCACCGCTCAAATACTGGTTTTGCCTTTTCTGTTTACCGCAAGCTCAAGAAAAGTGGTCTCATCTCCCTCTTTCTCCATGCTCTCTGCATTTGTGATCCTCAGTTCCTTGAATCAGGAATTTCCTCTCTTCATAATTCATTTTCCCATCTTGGCTACCCTTCCCATTTCAAAGACTGCCTTCTCACTTGCTAAACGTAATTTCTTCTCCCAAACTCTCTACTCCTGGGAACTCTTCTGTCCTCTGCCTTCCCTACATTTCCGGTCTTTCTAATTTCAACAACTCTCTCCGTTCCTTAGATATCAAACTTACTTTTCGCCAGACTAACACTCTTTGCACTAATCTCGTTCATACCTCTCCTCCCTCTACAGATACTCCTGGTGTCTACTCTATTTTTTGTTCCTCCTGTCCTCTTCAGTACTTTGGAGAAACTGGCTGATCTCTTTCTGAAAGACTTAGGGAGCACAAAAGTAGTGTTAGGCTTGCCGACACTAACAATGCTCATTTCTGTCACATCAGAGATCACAGTCATTCTATTGACTGGTCTTCTGCTAAAACTGTCTTTTCTACTTCCAGCTTTAACAGTCGCCGTCTGGTTGAATCCTCCCTTATGCACAACTTTCCTTGTATGAATCTTAGTCCTCGCTTCGTCTCTGTAGATGCCTTCCTTTCCCACTACATTGTAAAATGCTCCAAACTTCAGAATACCCGTGACTTAACCTGATTCCTTTTTCTTCTCCCTCTTCCCCTTTCCTCTTTCTCCTTTGGGTTGTCTTTCTTCTGCATTGGGTATTTGTTCCTTCATTATTTATTGTTTCTTCCCTTTGTGTTCTTGCTCCTACCCTCTGTGGGCCCCTAGCTCCCTTGCAGTGCTCCTCTTCCTTAGTATCTGACTGGCTCCACCTCCACCATACTACCTTCCCCACTACTACCTTCTACCTCCACTGCTACCACTACCACCTCCTGGCCTTTATATACTCCCTCCTCTCCTTTTCGTCAGTGTGACTTTGTAAATGGTCCAAGAGTCAGACTGAAACATCATCATAAGCTCCTCTCTTCTATGTGTGGGTTATTTGTGTAAGGCAATATACACCGGGAATTGTATATCTCTCAGTGTATATACACCGGGTGTTGTATATCTCTCAATGTATATACACTGAAAGTTTATATTAAACAGTGTTAAAAATTAGTTAAGGTGTCCTTGATCAAGTCCCTTGACAGGTGATGAACTGTTGACTGGTGATGAACAGGTGACTGATGAACTATTGACTGGTGATGAACAGATGACTGATGAACTATTGACTGGTGATGAACAAGTTACTGATAAATTATTGATTGGTGATGAACAGTTGACTGATGAACTATTGACTGGTGATAAACAACTGACTGATGATGAACAAGTTACGTGGTTTTAATAACTTCTTTTTGATTATAATAATAACTAATGTGTAGTCCATAAATTTTAAACTTAATAAATGAAGCAGCATAATAAACACGATTATTATTATAATCATGGGGAGCGCTAAACCCGTAGCATTTTACAGGTCCTGTGGGGGGATATGGAAGGTATTCAGGCTCAGTACAGGGAACTGGAGCACAGATCCAATTCGCTAGATCAAGAGCCCCTCACCAGCATCAAGGAACCTCCCGTGAGGGAATAATAAACACAAGGGAACTGAAGAGAAGAACATCCAGAAGCTGGTCAAGGAGATGTGTTGCTTTTCGCACAAGTAAAGAAAAGCTAACAAGGAGTAATTTGGAGAAAATGTGAGTTAACTTTCGACAACGTTTACAACCGGTGTAAAAACCCAGCTTAAAAGGTCCCCAATGGAAATAAGTCACTTTGCCTAATTTTTTTTTCGGGGGGGGGGGGGGGGGGGGGGGGGGTTATCCTAGGTTCTCCCCTCAAGGAAGGTTCCTTGATGTTGGTGAGGGGCTCTTGATTTAGGGAATTGGATCTGTGCTCCAGTTCCCCGAATTAAGCCTGAATGCCTTCCACATCCCCCCTAGGCGCTGTATAATCCTCCGGGTTTAGCGCTTCCCCCTTGATTATAATAATATCCTAGGTTCTCTACACATATGTTGCTATGTATGATAATCTATATAGCTGTATTTGTGTATACCTGAATAAACTTACTACCTACTTAGTGCTCACAACTTGCGTCATGCACTCATCATCCTTGCGTCACACACTGCTACCAAACACAAAACCTTCATGTAACAGAGCAGGGGTGTTGGAGAGTGAGGGAGGGATGTGTGTGTGTGTTACATCAATTTAGTTTAATATTTTTATTATGCGTGAGTTACATCACTGACAAGCTCACGGTCTGTGTGGGATTCCCAGTTTGGCGGCATCAACTTTATAATGCGGGTTTCCCACCACAATTCTTTCCTCTTAATAATAATAATAATAATAAATAATAATAATAATAATAATAATAATAATAATAATAAATAATAATGAGAGAGAGAGAGACCACACTTAGGACAGCGTGAAGCAAGTTTCTTTACCACAAGACGGGCAGAAAGCAGCAACTTCACTCTGGCTGTACTCTTCTCCAGAACATCACTTCATCTGAGATCATTTATCCCCAGGATGACTCGAGTATGGAACACATTCGTACAGCATTATGATGTCAACGAGGTAGTTGATCATATGAAAATGCTGGCCCACAGATGGCTCCAACTTCATCCTGTTCCTTACTTGTATGTCTCATAACAATAAAAATGCTTTCAAATGAGCTGATGTAGGTAACAGCTGTTAGCTTGTCAATAAAGTTAGGAATCCTTAACCTGTAAATAGCTTGTCAATAAAGCTAGGGATCCTTAACCTAACCTTGTCAAACCTGTGTAAAGAGAGAGAGAGAGAGAGAGAGAGAGAGAGAGAGAGAGAGAGAGAGAGAGAGAGAGAGAGAGAGAGAGAAATTTGCATAAGTAGCAGGTGTACCTACTACAGTGGCCACTGAGTGTTCGTGCCCCCGCAGTGTATTTATACTTAATCCTCTGTATGACTAGGGACACTTGGAATGGAGTGATTAAATTTTGACATGGAATTCTTAGGGCTAGAACGTTTTTGTTGCACTGTATGGTTGTTACTGATGGTTCTTGTGAGCTGTGGTGAACCTGACAGTGCATTTATTTATTTATTTATTTATTTATTTATTTATTTATTTATTTACAATTTGAGCATACATACAGAGGTACAAAAAATACAGATAAGAGCAGCATGCCAAAGCCACTTATACTATGCATAGCATTTCGGGCTGGCTTAAAATTAACTAAGCAATGATGAAATCAGTGATAATACATTATTGTAAACAGATTACTATAAAGCACAAATGAGTATTACAAAGACAGGTCATATGGTTGCATGCATTGTTGTACATTCAGTCGTATGGAGTATTCTGTTAGGTAGTGTATTTAAAAAATAATAAAGTTAGATTGGGTTTTAGGTTTAACATTTATGTGATATAATTGTGAGAAACATTTAAGATATACAATTTATAAGGTTCAGTTATTCAGTATTTATTTGGTTTTGGGTGAGTAAGTGATCTTTGAGAAGAGACTTGAATTTATAAACAGGTAGTGTTTCTTTTATATTTACAGGTAATGAATTCCAGATTTTAGGGCCTTTTATGTGCATTGAGTTTTTGCATAGTATGAGATGGACACGAGGAACATCAAAGAGTGATCTGTGCCTTGTGTTATGGTCATGTGTTCTGTTGAGGTTGGCAAGATGTTTGAGGGGAGGGTTAATATCAGAGTTAAGTGTTCTATGTATGTAATAGGTGCAGTAATAAGTATGGATGTTTTGTATGGTGAGTAGGTTTAGTGTATTGAATATTGGTGGAGTGTGCTGCCTGTAGTGAGAATTTGTTATCATTCTAACTGCAGCCTTTTGTTGGGTAATTAGTGGTCTGAGATGGTTAATTGTTGTTGAGCCCCATGCACAATTCCATAGAGTATAGTTCTGTTGGTAATATAAAGAATAATTTGCTTTGCTGTGTGGTCAAGTCTTATTTTATGTCGGCCATATACATTTTATGTCAGGTTTCAGTACCTATTGTAAACTGTTATCAAAATTTAGGGAAAACATATTTGAGTTCACATCTCAGCGTTTTTTGTCTAATGTGTATTTTTGGATGTTTGGTGCGTGAGTATTTTGTGTCAGTGTATTTTGTGGTGGTGGTGTAGTGTGTGTGTGTATACTGACCTACGTGTGGCTGCAGGGGTCGAGTCATAGCTCCAGTGTGGGGGGTGGGATTGCAAACAGAGCTTATGTGTATGTGTGTTGTCCTGCAAGTGTGCTTGATTAACTATCAACCTTATGTAACCATAATATTTTCAGGTTTGTGTATGTTTAAATGATCACTGTCTGTTATATGTATACAACGTTTTTAATAAAATATAAAAATACGTAAGATGACGAGAGCAGGCAATTGCATTGGGGTTATATAGCACATCCACACTACCCATTTTCTTTCAGTTAACACCAAGCAAGTGTGAGGGGAAGGTAGCGCTTGTTTCCCATGTTAGCGAACTCACTTATTGTGAAAAATCGGCATTCATTTGGTGGTGAAGGTAGTGAAACAGTCTTAACTCGTGATGACACAGGTGTGTAAAGCTAAAAAATTATTGCGTATGTGCAAATTATCTTTGATGTGAAATTCGACCCAATGGAAATCAGTCACTGACTTTTTTTTTTTTGGGGGGGGGGGGGAGGAGGGTTACTATAGGTAATTTATACTGGATGATAATTATATTTATGTATACTTCTGCCTAAATAAACTTATTAACGTTACTTCAATTCATGTATAGACCGATAACTACTGTTAATACCATATAAGTAAGTTTATTCAGGTATACACAAATACAGTTACATAGAATTATCATACATAGCAGCATATGTGGAGATAACCTAGGATAACCCAAAAAAGTCAGACAGAGTGACTTATTTCCATTGGGGTCCTAAAGCACACTTTCTCTTGGCATACCTTTCTGTCGTTACCACTAGCATTCTCATATGAGAAAAATATTGTGCAGATATTTCCATGTTTTTGAATGTAATTGCTTATTTACATAAAAGTACTTTTTCTTGTTTAGAAAGAAGAGTGTGGAGTGGCAGCCTGGAGCAGTGTGCTGTTGCTGTTGTTACTGTTGCAGCTGACTGCTGCTCGCAGTAAGTGTATACATACAGATATGTAGTCTTTTTAGGTAACCTCTAAGGTTGTATGAGTTTTTCTTTCCTCCCAAGAATTACGTTTATAACTTGAGAACGCTACTTTCGATCGGCTTCAAATCTTCAACATGTATGTACTTTAACTAGGGCAGGGTTCATGTAGTAAAGTAAATTAAAGTTTATTTCTTTGTAAAGGTTACAATGTGTAATTACAATTTTGATTTGCGAAGTACAAAGATAGCCACTATCATGCCCAGGCATTTTGGACAAACTAATCTTAATACATAGTAACTAATTAAAACTAGATAAGATAATTGTACATAGTAATTATACTTAAAACTAGACAAGTAATAGTGGTTAGCTGTTTTACAATCTTATTTAAATTTAATACAATCTTATTTAAACTTAGTACAAGTGAGTAGGGTTCGGTAAAATAAGCTTGAAATTGCGCACAAAATCTACCTTACAAGTAATGGTGCAGGAGGTAATATTTTATGGAATGGCAGAATTAAAAGCCAGGAGGTCACATGATAAGACTAATTAGCAATGTTTTGGCAGATTTGGTTAATATTGAGAAATAAGATGATTTTATGGATTGGCAGAAGTAAGAGCCTGGAGGTCACATGATATAACTAGTTAGCAGATGTTTGGTTGATTTTTTTTTATTTTATTGAGAACGCATCTTGTACAGACAGACATAATACATACATATATATATATAGAATAAACATATTGAGAACAATAAGTATATACAGAAAATATCACACACACACGTTGCTGTACACAGGAGAAGAAACCCGTTACAGAAAAACGATAAAATCACAAGCACGCCATACACCACTCAAGTAACTTGACAGTATATATATGAAAACACTTAAAATTGTCACTTGGTGGCCCGGTGGCTGGTGGCTAAAGCTCCCGCTTCACACATGGAGGGCCCGGGTTCGATTCCCGGCGGGTGGAAACATTTCGACACGTTTCCTTACACCTGTTGTCCTGTTCACCTAGCAGCAAATAGGTACCTGGGTGTTAGTTGACTGGTGTGGGTCGCATCCTGGGGGACAAGATTAAGGACCCCAATGGAAATAAGTTAAGACAGTCCTCGATGATGCACTGACTTTCTTGGGTTATCCTGGGTGGCTAACCCTCCGGGGTTAAAAATCCGAACGAAATCTTATCTTATCTTATCTTATCTTAACATGAGTGTGACGCGCAGCGGACCAAAACAACAATACTCATGTAAATTTAAGCACACAAGACATCACACATATATATTAATATAAAAAGAAATATGGAGGTAGTAGGTTGGTAGACAGCAACCACCCAGGGAAGTACTACCGTCCTGCCAGATGACTGTGAAACAAAACCCTGTAACTCTTTTACATGATGATAAGATTGCTGGTGTCCTTTTCTGTCTCATAAACATGCTAGATAACAGGAATATCTTGCTTCTCCTACTTACACTTTGGTCACACTTCACAGACACGCACATGCATATGTATATACATACATCTAGGTTTTTTTTTCTCCTTTTTCTAAATAGCTCTTGTTCTTCTTTATTTCCTCTATTGTCCATGGGGAAGTGGAAAAGAATCTTTCCTCCGTAAGCCATGCGTGTCGTATGAGGCGACTAAAATGCCGGGAGCAATGGACTAGTAACCCCTTCTCCTGTAAACATTTACTAAAAAGGAGAAGAAGAAAAACTTTATAAAATTGAGATGCTTGAATGTGCGTGGATGTAGTGCAGATGACAAGAAACAGATGATTGCTGATGTTATGAATGAAAAGAAGTTGGATGTCCTGGCCCTAAGCGAAACAAAGCTGAAGGGGGTAGGGGAGTTTCGGTGGGGAGAAATAAATGGGATTAAATCTGGAGTATCTGAGAGAGTTAGAGCTAAGGACGGGGTAGCAATAATGCTGAAGGATCAGTTATGGAAGGAGAAAAGAGAGTATGAATGTGTAAATTCAAGGATTATGTGGATTAAAGTAAAGGTTGGATGCGAAAAGTGGGTCATAATTAGCGTGTATGCACCTGGAGAAGAGAGGAATATAGAGGAGAGAGAGAGATTTTGGGAGATGTTAAGTGAATGTATTGGAACCTTTGAACCAAGTGAAAGAGTAATAGGAGAGTAGTAGGAGAAACTTTTAGAGAGGGTGTGGTAGGTAAGTTTGGGGTGCCAGGTGTAAATGATAATGGGAGCCCTTTGATTGAACTTTGTATAGAAAGGGGTTTAGTTATACCTGGAGAGAGTTCCGGGGGTCAACGCCCCTGCGGCCCAGTCTGTGACCAGGCCTCCTGGTGGATCAGAGCCTGATCAACCAGGCTGTTACTGCTGGCTGCACGCAAACCAACGTACGAGCCACAGCCTGGCTGGTCAGGAACCGACTTTAGGTGCTTGTCCAGTGCCAGCTTGAAGACTGCCAGGGGTCTGTTGGTAATCCCCCTTATGTATGCTGGGAGGTAGTTGAACAGTCTCGGGCCCCTGACACTTATTGTATGGTCTCTTAACGTGCTAGTGACACCCCTGCTTTTCATTAGGGGGATGTTGCATCGTCTGCCAAGTCTTTTGCTTTCGTAGTAGTGAGTGATTTTCGTGTGCAAGTTCGGTACTAGTCCCTCTAGGATTTTCCAGGTGTATATAATCATGTATCTCTCCCGCCTGCATTCCAGGGAATACAGGTTTAGGAACCTCAAGCGCTCCCAGTAATTGAGGTGTTTTATCTCCGTTATGCGCGCCGTGAAGGTTCTCTGTACATTTTCTAGGTCAGCAATTTCACCTGCCTTGAAAGGTGCTGTTAGTGTGCAGCAATATTCCAGCCTAGATAGAACAAGTGACCTGAAAAGTGTCATCATGGGCTTGGCATCCCTAGTTTTGAAGGTCCTCATTATCCATCCTGTCATTTTTCTAGCAGTTGCGATTGATACAATGTTATGGTCCTTGAAGGTGAGATCCTCCGACATGATCACTGCCAGGTCTTTGACGTTGGTGTTTCGCTCTATTTTGTGCCAGAATTTGTTTTGTACTCTGATGAAGATTTAATTTCCTCGTGTTTACCATATCTGAGTAATTGAAATTTGTCATCGTTGAACTTCATATTGTTTTCTGCAGCCCACTGAAAGATTTGGTTGATGTCCACCTGGAGCCTTGCAGTGTCTGCAATGGAAGACACTGTCATGCAGATTCGGGTGTCATCTGCAAAGGAAGACACGGTGCTGTGGCTGACATCCTTGTCTATGTCAGATATGAGGATGAGGAACAAGATGGGAGCGAATACTGTGCCTTGTGGAACAGATTTTCACCGTAGCTGCCTCGGACTTTACTCTGTTGACTACTACTCTGTGTTCTGTTAGTGAGGAAATTATAGATCCATCGACCGACTTTTCCTGCTATTCCTTTAGAACGCATTTGGTGCGCTATTACGCCATGGTCACACTTGTTGAAGGCTTTTGCAAAGTCTGTATATATTACATCTGCATTCTTTTTGTCTTCTAGTGCATCTAGGACCTTGTCGTAGTGATTCAATAGCTGAGACAGACAGGAGCGACCTGTTCTAAACCCATGTTGCCCTGGGTTGTGTAACTGATGGGTTTCTAGATGGGTGGTGATCTTGCTTCTTAGGACCCTTTCAAAGATTTTTATGATATGGGATGTTAGTGCTATCGGTCTGTAGTTCTTTGCTGTTGCTTTACTGCCCCCTTTGTGGAGTGGGGCTATGTCTGTTGTTTTTAGTAACTGTGGGACGACCCCCGTGTCCATGTTCCCTCTCCATAGGATGGTAAAGGCTCGTGATAGGGGCTTCTTGCAGTTCTTGATGAACACGGAGTTCCATGAGTCTGGCCCTGGGGCAGAGTGCATGGACATGTCATTTATCGCCTGTTCGAAGTCATTTGGCATCAGGATAACATCGGATAGGCTTGTGTTAACCAAATTCTGTGGCTCTCCCATAAAAAATTCATTTTGATCTTCGACTCTCAGTCTGGTTAGCGGCTTGCTAAAAACTGAGTCACATAGGCGATACATATTTTAAGAAAAAGAGGATAAATAAGTATACAAGATATGATGTAGGGACGAAATGACAGTAGTTTGTTGGATTATGTATTGGTGGATAAAAGACTGATGAGTAGACTTCAGGATGCACATGTTTATAGAGGGGCCACAGATATATCAGATCACTTTTTAGTTGTAGCTACACTGAGAGTAAAAGGTAGATGGGATACAAGGAAAATAGAAGCATCAGGTAAGAGAGAGGTGAAGGTTTATAAACTAAAAGAGGAGGCAGTTAGGGTAAGATATAAACAACTATTGGAGGATAGATGGGCAAATGAGAGCATAGGCAATGGGGTCGAAGAGGTATAGGTTAGGTTTAAAAATGCAGTGTTAGTGTTCAGCAGAAGTTTGTGGTTACAGGAAAGTAGGTGCGGGAGGGAAGAGGAGTGATTGGTGGAATGATTATGTAAAGAGAGTAGTAAGGGAGAAAAAGTTAGCATATGAGAAGTTTTTACAAAGTAGAAGTGATGCAAGGAGGGAAGAGTATATGGAGAAAAAGAGAGGTGAAGCATTATAAAAAGAGAGCAAATGAGAGAGTGGGTGAGTTGTTATCAACAAATTTTGTTGAAAAATAAGAAAAAGTTTTGGGGGTGAGATTAACAATTTAAAGGAACCCAAAAGAGAACAAATGGATTTGTCAGTTAAAAATAGGAGAGGAGAGTTATTAAATGGAGTGTTTAGAGGTATTGGGAAGATGGAGGGAATATTTTGAGGAACTGTTGATGTTGATGAAGATAGGGAAGCTGTGATTTCGTGTATAGGGCAAGGAGGAAAACTTTCTTGTAGGAGTGAGGAAGAGCCAGTTGTGAGTGTGGGGGAAGTTCGTGAAGCAGTAGGTAAAATGAAAGGGGGTAAGGCAGCTGGGATTGATGGGAAAAGATAGAAATGTTAAAAGCAGGTGGGGATATAGTTTTGGAAGTGGTTGGTTGTAATTATTTAATAATGTATGGA